TCAGCAGGTGATGTAGGTTGTGCTTAACCTTTCAGTTTCCCATGAACATCGTCCTGTTTCAATACGAGTATTCAACTTTTGGCTTGACCATATTTTTTAATTTTTTAGTCGATGAAACTCTCGCTTGTCGCACTGTGTACTTGATGTATGTTATGCAATTAGAATAGCAATTGCATGTTTGTGAAATTTGAAATTCACATCGAGTGTTTTATTACGGGTAGGAAATCAACTTTGTAAGATGGGCAACGGAGGCTGTAGTCACCTATGCCTTTTGACACCCAACGGATCTTTGTGGGCCTGTCCTGATGGCTTTCCTTTGTCAACTGATGGAAAACGCTGCCTTACAGGTAAGAATTTTCTTTTTCTGTTATTTGATATCTAGTGATGGTTACTGCCTATACGTTTACTAGTTGCTAAAAATTTCCAATTAAAAACTTCGCGAAAGATATATCAAATAATAAAAAGGAAATTACGTTTTGTTTAGAGAGGGTCTGATCGATCATTGCAGTTACACAGCACTTCTAGCTGGGACCACTCTGCTCACCTTGGCGAAATAAAAATTGCCGATCTTTGTGGGTAATCAAGTTGCGAACCTCTCACGTTTTTATTCTTCTATTTTTTTGTGACCTAAAGTTCACCACCACCTTCTTCCCCTCCTCTTCCCCTCTTCCTGTTCCTCGACCTCCCCCACTCCTCCTCTTCCTCCTCCTCCTCCCCTTCCTCTCCTCCTCTTCCTGTTCTTCTTCCTCCCCCTTCTCCTCCACTTCTTACCCCTCTTCCTCGTCTTTCATTATTGCCCCTCCTTCCTTGCCCCACCTCTTTGCATATACAAAATGTGCATGGAAATGCTTCCGAAATAAGCCAGTTCTATTATAGATTGTCAATATTAGTGCTTTTTAAATAAATACGGTAAATAAAAAAAAATTAAGTTAATCGATATTACCGACATGCGCCATTTTGAAAAAGACTGCCCGGCTGTTTGTGGTAACGTGGAAGCCACGCAGAAATGGTTTAAGGGTTAAGTATTGCATAAAGAAAAAGCAGAACTCAGCCAAAAATGTAATTATTTATATCGCAACATCCCCATAAATCTAAATATCTTTACTTAGGTATCTACATCCGGAATACTTGAATTCCGCCTCTTTTTCCCCATTATCTGAAAATTGAAAAACGACATACCCCTTTAAAATCCTTTTTCTCTCTCGATTTCAGACATTAAAACATTTCTTCTCTTTGCTGAGGGATCACACCTTAGACAACTGGCTTTCAACGTTACATCGTCGCGCCGAATTCCTCTAAAAATACTAGCGTCACAACCCATGGCGCTTGATTTTGATTTTGTGGAAGGGAAAGTTTACTGGACAGACGTATCGCTGGGTACAATCTCCCGGGCGTATCTCAATGGATCTTTTCAGGAGACCGTGGTCACAGGTGGACTTCAACACCCGTATGGACTTGCTGTAGATCCGTTTGGTCAGAACATTTACTGGACAGACAGCACAGAAGAAGTAATTGGAATAGCATCCAAAGATGGACTTTACAGACGAGTACTCATTAAAGATAATTTGCAAGATCCAAGAGATATGATCTTGGACGTCACTCGAGGGTATACAAAACGTATCTCATTCTATATTTGATTGTTTTACAGATTATTCTATCATGATCAGTATGTTTAAAGTTTTTACACCTTTCTAATGTCAGCTTGCTTCAAAAATCAGTAAATTCATCAGTTAGGTGTGATGTGCAGTAAGGGGGTTTAAACTGAGAGTAACAGAAGATCCTAGATTTGTTGTCAGAGCGAGGCTAATCATGTAAATAACTGCTCTCTGTTAGCAAGGGACAGAAATCGTCACATTGTGACCTCTTTTTTAAAAACTCCTGGCTACGCCCCTGTTGTCATTAGAGTTAAGTGAAGAGTTGCTTGTAGTTCAAGACAACTAGCTTTCGTCAGTTGTGATTGGTCATTTTCGTGGAGTAAGTTTTTTTTTATTTTACGCACCTCTTTGCCTTCGGTAGTTATTTAGTGTCATCTAGAGATGAAATCGATGTAGGATTTTGATTTAGTTCTTCCTTTTCAATATTTTTGTTTGTAATTTTGCTGTTTTTACTTCTTGTTTGTTTTTCTTGCTCTTTATCACAAAAAAGATACATGTACTGGACAGACTGGGGATGGGACGAAAGGATAGAGCGAGCAGATATGGATGGCACAAACAGAAGAGTGATTGTTCGTTCAGGGCTTCTTTATCCGAACGGTCTGACTCTGGATTTTCTAAGGAATTGGCTATATTGGATCGATTCTGTTTATGGAAAACTGGAAGTGTACGAGTTTCCATCCAAAACAAGAAGAACCATTATCCCTACATATGGGGAACCATTTCTTAAATCTCCACTGGGGCTGACATTATACGGGAGTTATTTCTTTTGGACTGACCAACGTCTTAATGGGATATATCGAGCGGACCGAGACACGGGAGGAAACGCTTCAAAAGTCCTATCGACGTCTTCTCGACCAGCGTTAATTCATGCGTACGACAGGGACATGAATATTACTCCAGGTATTTCAAACTCGAGTGTCATCTTTATGGAAGAGATCAATGTGTAAAGCTTGCGTTAGCTTTAACGTCTTTGCTTTCAACTTGAGTTTTTCGTTGAGTTATTTCTTGCAGTTCATTTTTTTCTGTTTCTAGTTCCTAGTTTACTTCTTAGCAACGTATAAAAAATAGAGGACAAAACGAGGATCCATTTTTAACCATTTTATTTTGCAGTAACGGATCAGTGCGCCAACCAAAGTGATGGATGCAGTCACTTTTGCTTGCTTACACCCAGTGGGCCAAAATGTTTGTGTTCTGAGGGGTTTAATCTTCACGATGACGGAAAAGGTTGCGAAGGTGACAGATTATTAGCATATAATCTAAATTGTTCAAATATTTTTAAAAGTAAATTAAATGTAAGACGAAACAAACAATATACCACTTCAATCCTTTGTACGACATAGACAGAAATAGTTTTTTCTCGGAATTTTATGACTTTGTTTTAGAAAAGGCGGTGATTCCTTCTGCTTTCATTTGTGATTCTTAGACTAGCTGTTAATTGTGATAGACAGGCGTTTTAATTGGTAGAATTGTCTCTCTACAGCTCCAAGAGGAATTCTTTTGTATGCGGATTATTCATATAACAAGATAATGAAGGTTACTCCGAACGCCACTGGATCACTTTATCGATTGCCGTTGTCCAACATCCGTCGTCCTATCGCACTAGACTATGATGTAGTAGAAGACACAGTGTATTGGACGGATAGTTCTAAGATCTCCCGCTCATTTCTTAATGGTTCTTCTCAAGAGATCATTATTGATACGAACTCATACAGCAGATACGGCCTAGCAGTGGACAGTGTTGGAAGAAATCTTTACTGGACGGATTATGGATCTGGAGCTGGTATGGTGGAAGTTTCCAAACTGGATGGTTCTCGACGGATGGCTCTTGTTACACATAACTTAAATCAACCCAGAGACATAATTCTTGATGTTTATAAGGGGTTAGTATCTGGTTAGTAAAGGTAATAACGTTATTTCGAGTGTGGTGTTAATGAGCACGAATTAATTCATACTTATTACCTTCTTAGCTATTTCAAAGTTCTCAAGAAGTGCATAAACAAATTCGATTGTCTTGTCAACGAGATGCTTTACATCAAACAATTAACAACGAGTTTGAACGTGCAAACGGATTCTATCCGTGCTAAAGTATTTGTGTAGCTACCTCCCCTATGCAAATTAGTTGTAACTCTTGAACTCGCATTTGTTAATTTTATTTTCATTTGTACCCTTGATAATGGCGTCATGAAGTCGCCGAAACGTCGGGATTTTATATCGTTCGTTTTTACCTGTCTACTTATTACTGTTTTACATGAAAAAAGCAACACAGAAAGTCAAGACGAAATTTTGACTGCGCGTGCGCTATTTGTAAGTTGCACTCGTGTTACAAGCTTTCCTTTTGCATGAAAGTCGTTGTTTTCAGCCAATCAGAAGCACGTAATTTTTGCATGTACATTGTCAACAGGCGTATTAATGAGCAAGTTAAGAAGGCATAGGGATGAACAACGTTTGACATTTCAGTAAAGCGTCTCAGACTTTCCTCACGTTACACGCTGCAAACTGATAAAATTTGGAATCTTTTTTATTTCTAAATTTGTTTCAGTTAGTCATCCCAGTATAAGTATCGTACAATGAACTAGTCCGCGTGACATTATGGAGCTCGAAAGGGAGCTTTTACATACGGTCGTACTTCACATAGCCAAACGTAGTGTATTTTCGAAAGTGATCTTCTTTCGAGAATGAGCTTACTCGTTTTCGTGATATTAGCATAACTGATGAAATTTTGTGATTGCAGATTAAATATGATGAGAGAATACCTTTATTTGTGAATATAAAAGCATTGATGTTAAAGTATTTGCGTTTCTCTTTTACAGAGTGATGTACTGGACAGATCGGGGTAACAGCCCAAAAATCGAAAGGGCTGATATGACAGGTAGAAATCGCGTTGTTGTCGTTAGCTCAAGTTTGTATCGGCCAAATGGACTCACACTTGACAGGAAGAGAAACCGCTTGTATTGGATCGATGCTTGGTACGCAAAATTAGAGTATCTGGATATGAATCAAAATAAGAGAGTGCTGCTATTAAGCTATTATTACAACCTATATTATTCCTTTGGTTTGACTCTTCTCGGAGATTACTTGTAATGGACCTCCTCGAGCTGGTCAAGGGGTGTTTATCGAGCCGACAAGGATACAGGTAGTGGTATCACCAGGTTCGTCAGCAGCACTGGATCGCTTAGGGGCATTCGTGGATATGACCTCAGTGAGCCCTTCACAAAAGGTAAAAAGAAACTCAAGAAGCAAAAATGCACTTTAGACATGTGAATTAATCTAGCCAAAATCTTTCAAACGTGAACCCTTGCGAACCGGTCGTAAGTGGTTTCCTTCCATTCACTGGTCTTTTCTACCCAATTCTCACTCAATCTCAGCCCTTCTTTTCCAGCCTCTTTTAAATTCCATTCTACGGAGTCTTGTGGCTACCTTTCTAAACTATTCAATGATTATATTTCTCTCCGTTGCGAGGAAATTATGATGGGTAACATAAATCACCCGCCTCTTGTAAATTCACTAATCGGGCTCGAGATTCTCCATTTTACATGTCTTTTGATCTATTTTATTCAATCCTTTTTTCATCTGGAACTGAAATTCCTTCATGGCCACGTAATCTAAACAAACTAAACGTTTTCGCCTGATTCATTTCATATGATGAAATCGTAATGGCCCAACTACATTGGGCGAATCATTCCCTGAGAACCCAAAGTTTCGCTCTTCATCGAAATATTTAGTAACGAACGATCCAATGGCTTGCATTAAAACCTCTTTGAGTCACATTATGGTCCTTCAAAATAGCTTCACGATCTTGTTAACTACCTATTGAAATTTGTGTCTGAATTTAGCGAATTAAACGAATTTTTCCATTAAACCCAAGGGAACTCTTCTTGCCTTGGTGATTGCAGTCACATTTGTGTGCTGTCTCCTAATGGAAGTGAATGCGCATGCCCAATCCACTTTACCCTCGGAGAAGATAAGAAGACTTGTGAACATGACGGTAAGTAAAAAAAACAGTACAAACTCCTTAAGGATACAAGGATTCAGATTTTTTACCCTTTTTATTAAAAGCATCCCAAAGTCTTAAAAATTAATGTAGGTGTAGCTAAGTGTCGGTCGAAGGTGTTGTGCACATACTTGAATGTCATGTACTCTAAATAGTTGCAATTAAATATGCTAATTTAGACTGTATTTAAGACTTGTGCGTAAGTTTGAATTGGAATGTATTTTGCGTATTTTGAGTGAAGTTGGATACTACAGTAGGTGCAAACATTTGCATTTTGACATCGACCTGAAATCGATCACGTGGTTGTGTGCGCTCAGTACTAAGATAAAGAGCTTCCAGTTCACATTACTCCACTGACGAATAGCAACGGATTCCTTTTTATCTAAAATAGAAATCTCAGAGACTACCTATCGTTATTTGTGCAAAACGGACACGGAAACAGTGACTCGTCTTTTTTGGGAATGGTCGACAACGAAAACTTCTCTTTTCGTTTCAATCTATTTGATATCAGCCTCATGAGTTTTTGATATCTATGAATGTAGATTATATTTATTGCTCTAACTTTGAGAAGATCTGTCTATCTATTAGAGAATATGCGCAACAGATTAAATGTATTTAGAAATTAAAAAACAAATATCCATCGTGACTGATTCACAGCACAAATTTTAACAGAAGTGGCACACAATACTTCATGCACTATTATTTCTGTATAGTTTGCAGCAGTGTAGGTATTGTAACTCAATGTATGTATGTATGTTAAGGTAAGTATTTTAAGTAGTGTTCCTTGTGTGGTTATTATTTAAAGAAGAAAAAGTTTGAAGATTTTCGGCGCTTTTAGTAAAGCTGTTAATATTAGGTCCATCTTGAACAACATGATTTACTTGGCTGTTTGCCTAGATTTTTTAAAAAAAAATCATTTTTCTTTTCCGTTTGTTTTAGTTCCTCAGAAGATATTACTTTTCGCTGATAGCGGTCAGAGGCAAATATATACATTATCTCTAGACGAATCGAACATGAGCTCCAAATCTCTACCAAAAGCTCATCAGAATTATCGGCCTGTAGCACTTGACTTCGACATCACAGAAGATAGAATATATTGGACGGATATATGGTCGAATACAATATCTAGGATGTTCATCAATGGATCGTCACCTGAAGTTGTTGTTTCCAGAGGTGTTTATTATCCCTATGGGTTGGCGGTTGATCCAATGGGAAAAAACATTTACTGGACTGATCATACTCTTAATAAAATTGAAGTTTGCAGAATGGATGGATCAATACGAAAAACATTGATTTCCCGAGACCTAGATAATCCAAGAGATATAATCGTGGATCTCAACGAAGGGTAAGATCCTTAGTAAGTTTGCAGTTACATGTAAGAGTGTTGGGGGTAATAAATAATGAATAAAAAATTAATGAATTAGATATCGCGAACACTGCTCAGGAGCAGCTTTTTTGAAATGCTTGTGGATAATAATTTTTTCAGCGTGAACTAGGAAATTTTGACTTAAATAGGGCTTCAACAACACTTACCCACAAGCACCTTTCTAGCTAGAGTGCAGCTGGAAAGTGAAATGTCTCCATTTTTTCATACTCCTGCATGAAAGCTCAATTTTCACATTTTACGAGGAGCTTGTAAATATTATCGTTTGTCTTTGTTTGACTCGTAATATCACTGTGGAGACTGAGACGTCTCGGCCAAAATATCGGTCTTCATCCGTTCTGGGAATAGTTAATGTTGAAATGTCTAGAAAAGTCATAATCTAAATATCAAGAGTCAGTGACACTGACTTTTTTGTCATCTGCTGACCATAGTTTCTTTTAATATCGAGGGAAATGAGAGCATTTTTTTGCTTTATAAATCAGTTTGAAATAACTTTACATCAGTTAAAGCTTGCTGTCGACTGCGTCGCGAACTTATTCTGGTTGGTTTCACAACTTGTATTTAATCGATTCCCCCTTTTTTACTTAAATACAGTTTAATGTACTGGTCCGACTGGGGGGCCAGCCACAAAATTGAGGTCGCTAGCATGGATGGAAACAACAGAAGCGCACTGGTTAGAAGAGGGCTTTATTGGCCAAATGGGCTAACTTTGGATGCAGAAAATAACAGGCTTTACTGGGTGGACGCATGGTTCCATATTTTGGAATACTACGACCTAGAGCGTCACACGATTAAATCTCTGTTTCGAGACAGATATGTACTACGGAACCCGTTTGGTTTGACATTGCTCGAAGATAACTTATACTGGACCGATTCAAGTTTGGGTGTTGTTTACAAGTCACAAAAAGACTCTCCATCAAATGCAACAGTTCTCGTTAGCGGTTTCTCAAGACCATATGATATACATGCTTACGACAGGAATCGGACTTTTCCAGGTATTCGATTGGCTATCACAATCAGTCTTAATCATTTCTCATTTTCTCTCTCTTACACATCTGCTCGTTTCAATTTTGTATTAATTACATGAAACAACCTCCAGTAACTAAACTATCTACCAAGCTTGTGATGAAACGACTTCAAGCTGTTTTTTTTTTTTCTTCATCCGCCTCAGATCAGTTGCATTGGGAGATTATAATTTGAATTTCGTTCCAAAATGGTGCACGGAAATATTTCCTTTACAAGCTTTTGCGAAAACCTGTCTGATTTTCACAGTTATTATTGATAAATTTGACATTAACAGTTATTTTTCTTTGCTTCCATTTCAGACCATCCCTGTTCCTTTTCCTTTGGTGGATGTTCTCATCTCTGCCTTGTGAGACCGAAGGGATACAAATGCGCATGCCCCGATAATCTCGAACTGTCGAAAGATGATAAAACATGTATCCCACAAACATACAGTAAGACGCATGTGACATACTAACATGCTAGTCATATTAGTATCCCCTTAAACTCTTCGGCTGTAAATAAACAGATTATAAGGTGAAGAAGATCTTGATCAATCCTTTTCCTGACGCCGGCTCTTGGGTGAAATATTTTCATTCTTCTGGTTCAAACACATTTCATGAAAGTATCATAGTTGACTTCAACTCTTGTAATGTCGTAAGAGTTGTAACGATAATTAACTCTTGCGTTTCATTTTCATTTCTTGTCAGTAACTGTAATGAATCTAAATGATGATTTTGTCTGTATCCAGCTTTCTAAGCTAACTGCATCAAATTATTCGTTCAGTATTTCAGAAATTCTTGCTGTTTGCTGATGCCTCGCACGCAGAAATATACATCGTCGATTTGGATGATTCCAATTTTTTGGCCAAAGCTCTGCCAATAGGAGCCTATATGTATCGACCAGTTGCACTTGGAATGGACCTTACAGACAACAGGGTCTACTGGACAGACGTCAGCCTAAACAGTATCAGGAGGGCATTCATAAATGGCACATCACCAGAAATTGTAGTTTCTGTTAATGTGTCTCATTCTGATGGACTCGCTGTCGATCCAGTGGGAGGAAACATCTATTGGAGTGACACTGTCACAAAAAGGATCGAAGTCAGTAGAATGGATGGAACCATGAGAAAAGTTTTGATAGACAAGGATCTAGACCAACCTAGGGATATAATTCTTCATCTTACTGAAAGGTAAGTTCTTTTCCTTGGTCATTGTCTCCCTAAGGTAATTCCTTATCATTGCATTGCGCATCCTGTATTGCGCATAACATCACATAATTTGGCGAGTAAGTTTGCGCATTCTTAAAACATGGTATTGTTATTTTCAATCAATGGACGAGGTAGATAGGTACCATGGTCTTTTGCTCACGAACCAGCAAGGTGACCTACACGTTTTATTAGATCATCTTCTTGACCAAGTTGTCCCCTTGAAGTAAGAACAATTAAAAATAGGCAGCAAATTATAACTTTGAAAGCAACGACTCTTGGAACGTTTTGAGTCGATCATGTTCAAGATCGTGTGATTTTTTCATAAATTGTAGATAAACTTGTTCCATGCGCTCATTACTTTTTATTAGTCAAGTATTTTTTCGAGTTTTAGTTTAAAAGCTCTTTCTCCCAGCCACTGAAAAATGTTCGCCGATGAAATAACGCCCATGATTAGTGCCAATACAATTATAAATGGGGTACGATTGGTGTATCGTATTTCTTTAGCAGGCACGGTGAACTTTTTTATTTTAGTTCTTAAAGATTGGTAGGGAAAATCAGAGGACATTGTTAAAGAAATCGTTCGACAGTTTTTTTTTTCTGAGGAATCACTTTATCTACTGTACCCTCTATTGTTATAAAACGATTTACATATTTAAAAGAAGCTTATTGCTTTAGTTCTATATTCCCATGCATACTTCTAGGATCATTCAATTTCGTCAAAAAAATAAAATAAAATAAAAATTAAAAAAAAAAACCTGTCGTGTCCTGCGAAAAAAAGGGGAAACAAACGAGTCTTTCTACTCTTTTTACACTGTCTCTGGATATTACGTCTCTTTACATTCCTAATGGCGAAGGCCTTCTGGCCCTTAAACATTTTTTTGATCAACGTGCTGTTAAGAAACCTAAATCTGAAACACTACTACGTGCTCACACTCAATTGTTTTTCATTCGGGGACAACTTCTTCAAACAAACCAGTGGTGTAGCCATGGGCACCAAAATGGGACCTAGCCATGCCAATCTTTTTGTAGGTTTTGTCGAACACCAATTTTTCAGCTAATACAACGGCTCCAAACCTGAACTCTACGGTCGCTACATCGACGACTGTATCGGCGCTACCTCTTCTACCAGAGAGGAGCTGACTCAATTCATAACCGCAGTCAATTCTTTTCACCCGCTCTGAAATATACCTGGGAAATTTCTGACAATTCTTTATCCTTTTTAGACATCAAAGTTTCAATTGAAGGCAACTGCAAAAAGAGGTTGCCATGTTCCCACCAATAACGTAGCTCCATTCTCTGCCTTTAAAAGCACACACAACCCACAATTCCTCTAACGCTCGAAACGTCAGCTTTTGTAATCGTTAGGGTGGCCAATTTACCATTTCAACTTTGTTGATATATCCAAAATATTTCTACTCTTTTGTTGCGAACAGAAATTTTTCTTAAAGTTTATTAGTGGTGTTAGGTTTCAGAAATTACTTTCTACCGTAAACATGCAGTTGCTTTTAGTTCTTACTGCGTAAGCATCAGCTAACTAGAGCCTACAAAAAGAATGTATTAGTGCCAGTTTGTTTTGTTTTTTTTTTTCAAGAAAATAGAGTCGACATTGTGTCTAACTTTACGGATATGACGCAAGAGATTTTTAAGAGAGATGTCATTACAATCTTTTCCGCTCCCTGCACCACCAGTGCACTTTTAGCCAAATAGAATCATAGCTTGATTTCCTCTCTTTTTAAGGTTGGTGTATTGGTGTGACTGGGGAAACGTGCCGAAGATTGAAGTCGCTAACATGGACGGATACAGTCGACGCATATTGGTCGAAAGAGGATTATACTGGCCAAACGGTCTCACTTTAGATGAAGCAAATAATAGGCTCTACTGGGTAGACGCATACTTTGACATCCTTGAATACTATGATTTGGAACATCAGACCATAACAACTTTAATGCAAGATAGTTCCAAAGTACCACATCCGTTTGGTTTGACGCTGCTCGAAGATCACTTGTATTGGACAGATTGGCGGTTAGATGTTGTTCATCGAGCGGAAAAAAAGACACTTTCAACTATGACAGTTGTTGTCAGTGGCCTTGGTCAACCGATGGATATACATGCGTATGATAGAAATAAACCTCTCCCAGGTTAAAAAAACTCCCAGCATCTTAGCTTTATGTATTTTTCGGTCTTTTTCTGAGCAACCTACAAAGACATTTTGAAGAGATATCCACTGTACGTTCTACATTAGGCTGCTTTTGACCAGTCCCATTCGGATACTGCGAAAAAAATCATTAATGATTTCCTTACTTGCCTACTAATCTACTCGACTGAAGACATTTTACCTCATAAATAATGTATTGCAGTTCTCAACTCTGACAGAAAGAGATGGTGTAGTAGAGTATGAAACAAAATGACCATTAAGAGCATGAAAAAATATATTCCTCGCAATTGTGATTCTATTTAATTAGTTCTTATCTTGCGTTATATCTTGAAATTGAATCCGTGATCGCACAGATCGCGGAAAACGCTAAACAAATGCTTATGTTTTCCTAGTTTGTACAAGCTATCATGATTGTTTTAAGTAAGGAATATAAACCAACAACTTATAATTAGTTTCCTTTCATGATAATCGACGCTTACCTTATTACTATATTTGTGCCATATCATATTTAGGTATATATTCGGGGCTGGAGGTAGACTCGTACTTTTTCTTATGAATTTGAAGGAGGTCAAATCGACATCTTATCAAAAAAGTAAACAGGTTACCTTGGTACAGAGCACCTGATTATGTCAAAGTTTCGTTTCAACAGATCACCCCTGCTCTAAGTCCTATGGTGGGTGTTCTCACTTGTGCCTTTTAAGGCCGGATGGATATAGGTGCTCCTGTCCAGACTACTTGCAACCTGGTGAAAATTGCTCTACGTCCGGTAAGTGTTCTACGTGACGATGACCTTCTGGTTTTGACCTAGAATGTCGTGAATTCAGCGGAGTCAGACATACCATTGTCAGAAGTTTTCCTAATTAGGTCTACATAAGACAAAGCAACGAGAGATAAACGACAGCTTTCTTTACTCGACGAGTAAGCAAAAATACAGTGGTCTGGTTGTTAATGCCGGTATGCTCCGGCGTACATTTGTCTTTGGGCAATATCTGTTCCTTTGAGCAACTATTTTTCCTTAAACGTTTTTGCTTCTCTTGACAAATCATGTTTATGAGAACTTTCTCTTCAAAAGGAGGCTATTGTTTATTTATGTCTAATCAAAATCCCTCTTCTCCAAAATTAGTCCACCTCCATTCTCCACCTTCTTCAAGTAAGCCTCAGGCCACAACTTTACAGACCACCAGGCAGACAACCAGACAGCAGAAAACGAACAAACCTCCAGCTACAACCCCCCAAACCACCAGGAAGACCACCAGACAGCAGACAAGCAACAAGCCTCCAGCTACAACCCCTCAGACCACCAGGCAGACAACCAGACAGCAGACAACGAACAAACCTCCAGCTACAACCCCCCAAACCACCAGGAAGACCACCAGACAGCAGACAAGCAACAAGCCTCCAGCTACAACCCCTCAGACCACCAGGCAGACAACCAGACAGCAGAAAACGAACAAACCTCCAGCTACAACCCCCCAAACCACCAGGAAGACCACCAGACAGCAGACAAGCAACAAGCCTCCAGCTACAACCCCTCAGACCACCAGGCAGACAACCAGACAGCAGACAACGAACAAACCTTTAGCTACAACGCCTCAGACCACCAGGAAGACCACCAGACAGCAGACAACAAATAAACCTCCAGCTACAACCCCCCAAACCACCAGGCAGACTACCAGACAAAAGACAAGCAATAAACCTCCGGCTACAACCTTTCATACCACCAGACAACAGACAAGCAACAAAATTCCAGCTACAACCCTTCTGACCACCAGGAAGACCACCAGACAGCAGACAAGCAACAAGCCTTCTAGTACAACCCCTCAGACCACGAAACCACAGACAACCAACAGGCCTCCAGCTACAGCCCTTCAGACCACCAGAGGGCAGACAACTAACAAGCCTCCAGTTACAACCCTTCAGACCACCAGACAGCAAACATCCAACAGGCCTCCAGCTACAACCCTTAAGACCACCAGACAGCAAACATCCAACAGGCCTCCAGCTACAACCCTTCGGACCACCAGAGAGCAGACAACCAACAGGCTTCCAGTCACAACCCTTCAGACCACCAGACAGAAGACAACCGACAAACCTCAAGGTTCAACCTTCTACACTACCACACAGCAGTCATCCACCAGAGACCAATCAACTCCTTCTAGTCCAACTGATTGTCGCTCTAGCAAGTGTAAGAATGGAGGATCTTGTGTAATTCCTGGTTTTTTCTGCGAGTGTCCGAAGTATTACGTTTGGGACCTTTGTCTTGTTTACGTTGGTAAGCATGAATCAATTAAATTGAGCTTATACTCTTTCAGGAAATTGTGCGTCCAGTTTTTAGGGAAGGGGGGGTTTATGTAAGGCGGCGATGGAATGCATAGAACCACGGTGGCACCCTAAGCATTCTAAAATTTTTCAAGTGGACTAACCGGTTATGGATATTGGCGTCTAAAGGGGCTCCTGTTTGTAAAGTTTATTTGGTTTAACTAGGTCATCTCTTCCCTGATGTCACAGGGGCATATATGTTTGACAACAAGCCAGACACGAAAGTGTAGATAACAGGCTAGATTGTAAGAATTCCTATTCTATAGAAATATTAACGGAGATGATATCAATTATACTCCCCTTTGTGTCAATAGTCATATAAAATCAGTAACGATTACAAAACGTGAGAATGCAAGTACTGGCTAGAAGTACTTCACAAGATCTCGTGAAAGGGTTGATACCTTCCAGTAGAATCACTGTAATTGTCGGAGGGTCTTCTAAGGATTCCTGCCTTATTTTAGGTTCCAGCACCGTAGAAGTAGAGGTAAATCTTCGAAACGAGGTAAGGATGCTGCGTTTCTTTTCGTGCTGACCCTTTTTCCCCTCCTCCCCCTAGCGTAACTAGCTTTGTATTTTTTAAGGCATTCAAAGTTCGGTCGGTAGGAAATACTAGAATTACGGTAAATGAAATTTTGATTGACGAAAGAAGTCATACAATTTTATTCAACTTTAATCTTATCAAGGAAAAGATACATTTGTTACATTTGTTTCGGTGGATGTCCTTTCATCTCCCTCACATTCTATAAACAACAATTCTCACCGTATATAGCGCCGGAAGCTGAATAAACCCCAGGTTTTGTTTAAATTGCGAAAAGAGTGCTGAAGGAAATCCACAATCCTCTTTTCATGTCATTTAATTTGTTTAGAAACAATGGATATCATATAACTTCCAAGCGGCAGTGGCAAAAGCTTGCACGAATTTTTTTTGCGGAGATGAGGAATGTGGAAGGTAAGGGTAGGATTCGATTTATATATTTACACTCCTTACATTGAGGAGTGATCTCCATTTAAATAAGAAAAATCAAAGTGCTGATGAAATAAGTCCGTTTATCTGATTGACAAACATTCGAACATTACGTAAACTTTACATTAGAAGAAAATCTTGAAAATCTAGACAACTCCCCATTTAGACCAAGCAGCGAACTTACTCTACCCCTCTATCACTTTTTAGGCTTATCCTAAAATTGTTGATCGATACATTTGTAGCACGTCAAAAAAGGATAAAAAGTTCTTGGTTTCCGATACTAAAATACTTGGACTTTCCATTGGCGGAGAAAACAGTTTGAGAGTAGAAGTGGCTGTTTTATTTCCATCTGTGGAAGGCCAGGTTCCTGAGCCTTTACCTCGTGCTACACTAGAACAAATACTGCAAAAAAATGAAGAAAGTCTTGGGGAAGCCATGGGAGGCACAATCATCAGAATCGGTAATGAAATTTTTTACCTTTATGCACCACACTAGAGAAAGCCAATCAGTCAGTTTCTTTAATTATCGTGAAAACAAGCGCTCTTTTAGGTTAAAGGAAGACAGGTTTCGACAAGGCAGTCTATGGGTAACCACTGGTTTAAGTATCCATACTCTGGCCTCTACATCAGTTGCTGCAGAGTTTCAAAATTTCATTTTCACAATCATCAGGATCGGTAACCACATTTTTAACCTTTATTCCACTTCACGTATTTTTGATTTACCTCTTTTTTCTGATTAATCAATCAAGCGGTTAACTTATTACTGTGACCCAAAATTCCAATAGGTCAAAAATTCTCGATATAGACCTATACGTTTTGATGATTATAAAGGAATAGATTTTTATCTCGCATATTCTTCCTTGAGTTCATAAAGCTGATATCACAAGTATATCAAATACAGACTCCCAACTGAGTGCTCAAAATGGTAAGATTCCTTCCCTTGTACACTGTATACTAAGTTTGGCTACGACTATGATAGGACTTCACGAAATCTGTGTCAAACATTGCAGGAGATATGTTTTTTTTAATCACCTTGTTTGTGGTATATGAACTCAGACACCGGGTCCTGAAATACGGCCTGTGTGTATTACGGCTAGTTTGAAACTGTAAAACAATTAAAACATTTTAACTTTTTTTCCAGGCAAACGACGAGTAGAGAACCCAACAAATAGTGAAAGGTCTACTCAAGATAAGGAGACGTTTAATTTGCCAATTGTTGCTGGGCTGGGGGGCACTGTTGTTTTGTTGGTGTTAATTTTGGCATTCGTCGTCTACCAAGTCAAGCGGTGAGGCTTTCAAAAGAACTTATTCTATTTAATCAACCAATCAATCAATCAATTAGTCCATCGACCAGTCACAATGAAGTAGGCCCACATGTTTTGGCTTCGATATTTTCAATCCTGTTAATTTTCTTCATTCTTGTCACTCTTCTATCTTTTTCTACTTCATTCTATTTGTTTTAGTGCTGGTGAGTCTCAGTCTTCCAGAAAACTCTTCAGTATTTACGTTCGACTCGACGAGGGTGTGCGCAATCCATAATCTTGGGTGTCCTGTGGAGTTTCGAGGGTGATCTATTTTGAGATCTGTTCGTCGACTGCATGCTTTTTCTGCGCCATTTTGAATGACGTCATATGTCATACGTTGTATGTGTTAACAATAAAAAAATGGGAGCCTGCGCGGCCGACTTTCAAGATTTTAAAGTCGGACTTTCCTTTCCTTTCCGATCAAGTTAGACATTCAAGAACCCATAATTAAAAAAAAATTAAATATGCTATAGAATAGTCAGCTTGAAAAATGATGGACATAAATTAGCTTCTGAGTCAACGACACCACGATTCTCTGAAGCGATACAAATTGGGGCTGAAGGTAAAAGCCGAGCCTTTGAAATTCAAGCGAGGCTTGGCGATAATTTGAAGATTCCAAGGCCCAGTAAATATTATGTTTGAGTAAAAAATTAGCATATTTTCATCTTTTATCTTGATTACTGTGTTAAAACCTAAATTCAAGTAACGCTTTTTTTCTTTAAAAATAATTTAAAATGCTCTTTCTTTTACTGGATCTTGTTTTTGGAAAAAATGATTTATAAAAGTTTACTACGCATTGAGTTTGGTTTTGCAGACCTTTCTGGTTTCTTGCCATTTGCTTAGGCTTGCGTTATACTAGGTGTCAATGGGCTAGAACAATTTTTGAGCACCTATCTTCAACTGACTTCACAAGGAGCTTGAGCCCCTCTGAACGAAATAGCAAACACGGACAACCACGCTAGACTCTAGAGTCAACCGATGAATCGAACGCACTCCATTAGCTATAATTACTTCTAGTTTATACATTTACTCTCTTATAAATCACTTACTCCGGCTGCGACAAAAATGAGCCAAAATATCGCGAAGAGCCCTTTGAGCTTGGAGACATCTCAATAACTTGCGACTGCATGAAAAATTTCATTTTCTTCTCTACTTGAAAACGGAGTGAATAAACAAGACAGAGGCCATTTATGAGGAAGGGGTCGTTGTTTTCGTGGTTTTCATATTTCGTCTGATTTGTCTTTCAGGAAAAGAAATGATGCAGGGAAAAGGACAGACAACATCTATTTACACAGTGACTTGGTTCATTCCAGAGCCAATTCTATCGCAACATTTGAAAATCCAGGATATATTGCGGAATTTCCGATGTATGAATCCATCCCCCACAGAGGTGGATCGGTGACATCCAGACAAGAGCAGGTCAACGGGGTTGCATCCTTTGAAAACAACAATGCAACACAGGAAGCGCCCGAGAAAACGTTCCTGAGTAATCCAACCTATGGTTTGCCATTCGCTGAAGATCCTGCAATCACCGAAGATTCTCAAAATCGTTATGCCACTATTGAGCAGAAGAAGACAGAACCATAGGTGAAAGAATTCCGGGTGACTGATTAAGTCAAAAACATCAATTTTGTAGAATAGTACAAAAGCCAGTGATAGTACTAGATATTACTGACATGTTTTGCGAAAGTGAATTAGGTTTCCGTGGTTACTGCATTTTTGTTGTTTACTTCTGAAGAAAAAACTGATCAAAGGCTCAAGGTACGAAAAACGTGCTGGAGTTGATATTTGCATTAAACCGGCCCTTTAATGTACCGCCGGGCTTAAGTGAATTTCTCTCTGATATGTTTGAACGTCTTTTTTCCAAATAAAATAAGAAAATGGTAAATTTTGACCTCTGTCCTGGAATAAAGAATAATGCATTGCGTTGACTCAGAAAAGTTTTGCACAATCTTTGTTTAGCATTAGCATTAGCACCATTACTGTTGTTTGCACGACAGACTCGAAGAGATGTTAGCGATTACCAATTGAATGCTTGCAATAGTTCGTTATCAGGTCAGCACAGAAGAGAGAATTAGGAATTAACTACATTACGTATTAGTATTCATGATATTCTTAATCGTAATTCTGCATTTTGAATTGTTACATTTTTCTACTTTTACGTTAGTGTTATTTTAGATAACGACAGTTAAAAAGAAATGAATAAAGATCCAGAGTTAATCATGTTTCACCGTTTTTCCGTTTTAATGGCCATGTTAATGTTAGTTCCTAGCCTAATATCTTTCCTAACTCGTTACTTACATATGTTGTGTCCTATTAGCGTCAGTATTTCGTCCTTTTTTTCCTCTTTTAACTAACAGTTTTCCTCCCACCGAGACTTTGATTTATCGCGCTCCCCTATTCAAGTCCTATTATTATTCCCTATTTTTCTCTTTTCTGCTCTTCACTTTTCTATCTCAGCACGGTATTCCATTCTACTTGTTAGCTAAAGTTTGCAATCTAGATCTCGTGCATCAGTTTGACGGTTTCTCTTTCATCTGCCATTGTCCACCATATTCCGTTTTCTGGCTACGTGCTATGCTTTTGAGTGTTTTCCTTTGAGTGTGTGCACCAAACGTATGGTTTTATATCTTCTTTTTGCCAACATCCCATTTCCTTCCCGCCTTCCCTGTAAGAACCTATTGGACGCCTTGTTTTTCTCTCAAAAATATTACAAGGATAGTCCTTCCAAAAAAAGTTCAGGGGATCAAGGGTATCGCGGTCACCGCAAACTAACTTCTATCCTCTAGCTTGATCAAATTCACACATGTTGCACCCTTAATTTTTGCCGTTTTTTAACTTTCTAGTGAGCCTTTGAATGCGTAGAAT